TATAAAAAGATCGTATTTTTAGACATCGATACATCGCATCCATGTCTAAGGTTTTGTGGAGACGAAGGATATTACGAGATAAGTTGTGAAGGATATTTGGAGGATAGTTTCGGTGGATATTTGGAGACCAGCTGTGATGGGTATTAGCGATTCGTTGAGGTGGATAATGTTAGTTAAGGAGTGATGGATATTCTGAGACCATTCGTTATGGATATTCTAAGACCATTCGTGATGGATATTCTGAGACCATTCGTGATGGATATTCTGAGACCATTCGTGATGGATATTCTGAGATCATTCATTGTGGATATTCTGAGACAAGGCATGGCAGATATTTTTAAATTACCTGTGCTAAATATTTAAGACCAGTTGCTGTGGGTAATTTCAGCCTAATGAGGTTGATATCAAATTTAGTTGCAGTGATTTTTTTGAGACTATTTGAGCGGAATATCTTGAGACTTGTTTTGATGAATATTTTTTAAATCCCCAAATATGAATATTTTGAACTCAGTTTTGGTAGCAATTTTAAAACTTTTTTGTTTGTCACTAAGACGAATTACAGTAAACCTTTAGAACCACACACCTATGATATTTTATGATAAGCTGATACTCAAAGACAAGCTAAACCGGGCTGATATTCTAAGATCTGTTGCATTTGTTATTTTTTATATACAGCTGTTATTTTTGTTACTTAAAACGAATTTCAATCTATATTTTCAGGTGTCAGTTTTTGATATTTAATATGAAGAACAAAACTTTGGCTGCCACGCGGTGAGACCTCCAGAGACCGGCACAGCGGGCGCAGGTGCCCGTGTCACGCTTCATCAGGAATTGGCTGTCGCACGGCACCACATTTTCTGCTCTCAGCTTCTGCTTCAATTTCAGAAACAAAGACAGGTACCACGGTGGCTGCTGAATAGTGAAGTGTGGTCTAATATTCAGTACAATAGACGATGTTAGTTACGATAGATGATTTTAGTTATGATAGATGATATTAGTTTGATAGAAGATATTAGTTACGACAGACGATATTAGTTACGATAGACGATATTAGTTACGATAGATGATTTTAGTTATGATAGATGATATTAGTTTGATAGAAGATATTAGTTACGACAGACGATATTAGTTACGATAGACGATATTAGTTACGATAGATGATTTTAGTTATGATAGATGATATTAGTTTGATAGACGATATTGGTTACGACAGACGATATTAGTAACAATAGACGATATTAGTTACGACAGACGATATTATTTACTCGATAGCAGGCCATCACATCATCCAGCGGCTGTTGTGGCAGCTTCCAAAATTTATAACAAATTTGCATTTTCATATTAATCATTATAAAGAAAATGAATTCGACCGCTTCTGAAAAGCGTGTTCTATAGGAACTCGGTGATAATACAAATGCATGAAATTTTCATGGAATCATTCCTGATAATTAATATGTTTTGGGGTTATCAAAAATTTAAATGATGTAAATGTAAACGAATAGATCACCAAGGAAATATTTTTGGAATGGTTGATCCATCTTCGAACTAACGTACAATTTTTTAACTTGCTTCAATCTCCATCACTTCGAGTAGGAATGTAAATGCGACAACTTCGGAAAATCAGTAAGGAAAATAATAATAAAATACATTTTTTAAAAGAAAGAAACGATTTCGTTAATTAAAAACCCGAGTCATCTTAGTTCCGGTGCTGAGAGAACAGAAAAAAATGTTTATCGACCTGTTTTGTGATAATTGACTTGTGCTAAAAAAATGTTTCGGTGGCGATGCAAACGTTGTCCCACGACGCCAAATGCATCCAATCCTGCGTACCATGGTTGGGTGCTAGCAGTTTATGTGTCGAGCAGCAATTTCTATTCACAAGAAAACTGTGGCTCGGTCTTGAGAAAAGAACCGAGGCAAGATATCGCTAAACAAGCTCCGCCACTCACAAAATGAAATGAAAACCGGTTTAGTTTACAAGAAAAACTTTTCCTTCCTGATCGAACGCATGCAAAAACGGTCGGAATTTAATGACGATGAGAATATTCGCTTTCAGAGCACGTTATGTGAACGGCCGTAAAACGATACGAGTTCGGTGAATACAACTTTTTAAATGATAGTGAGATGATGGTTAAAATACTAATTCGAATCATGGAGCTTGAAGCTCCAAATATTCGATATCCATCAGACTATAGATTTTTTTATTCTGCAATGCAAAATAATTGCGGTACTGGCGGATAAATATCAGGTCAATGATTCTTCATTGCCCCATACTTCATGATTTATGTATTGTAAAGGACTTTCTTATAGGCTAGTTATTTATGAACTTTGCTAAACTATTCCAAGACGCGCCATCATGGCTGGATAAGAAACGAATAATCTATGACGCATGGTTTCTTGAAATAAATGACAAATATGCATAAGAAAATTATACAAGAAAAACGGTACGCTATCTACATGAAATTGTAATATATGACCTAAAATAAATAAATAATAATGAAACAGGATCATCAATAATTCAAGAAATCAAACACTAAATCGAACGAACTGAATAGCTTGGTCACTCTGGTAGTACAGGCATCCGTATCTTCGAGTAGGTCTAACAATTAATGATGTGACGCTTGTGAAATTGACTTCGTCGAGTAGACTAATTCTATTGCTGAAAATTTCAGATATATGGAAATGGCGGCTACATGCATGATCACTTTTCGGGGTATAATAAATTCAAAACTTTCTGCCAAGGTTCTATAGGAAGTACACTTGAATAAATAAGTAGTTTGTTGGCTCTGGAGAAGTGCACTGAAATATAGAAGTACAAAATTAACTAAAGAATTATTTCCTGTTCCAAAATTTTTAACCGTCAATCATTATTTGTATGAAAATCGTTTCCGCAACAAAAATGAAGAAAATTCACAGATTTTTAGTATAATCAGTCGGATGTTTTCCAATGCTCTCTTATTCACGAAAAATATCGATAATTCATGTTACATATTATTATTTCCTCTTGATGAATTCCATCATTTGGTATCATTTAAAATTTCAAGCGAACAATAAATAATGTGAATATTTGCAAAAATAATTTTTTCATGTGACAGCTCACCCGCGAAGCATCTTCATGGAAACATTTCATCTTTAATTAAACATAAAAACGACGATCCAAGTTCGCACAATTGATTGCCGAGTTATTTTCACTCGACAACGTAGAACTTCCACAAAGCCCGAACCTAATTCCAAAAGCTTTGATCACATTTTACCGAATCGATTAGCTTTGCAATAGCGAATTTCCACACTCATTTAGACTTTCCCTAACGGCCGAAGCTATTTTTTCTCACTAGATTTTTGTATCAGGCGTCGACAGCCAACAAATGGACGGGTTTAACGCCAAGCGAGGTCCCAAAACTTCGATGGCTTGGTTCCATCATTCAAGGGGGACCAGATATTAAATTTACTCACATTCAAACACTGACATTGAACACTTTTCATCTGTATGAAGTTCAGACATCGAGAATTACGAGAGAGTTTCATTAACAAAGCGAGCCTAGGAAGAAAGTTGTCACTATTTACGGCTTCACCTACATTATTAAAAAGATTTCCGCATTTTGATCAAGAGTTTTCTTCAACTCTGAAGACCCCTGGGAAAACTTTCGTTATAAACTCGGGAATAATCCAATTAAATACAAACCGAGCTGCCTTATTATATTCGACATTCTATTTTCAGAGTCGGTTAGATTTCGTAAATGTCCTCCGTTGCGTAAAATCAACTCGTTCGTTCTAAATTAAAGGCCTTTGATTCGCTTTTTATCAGCAAGCTGAGCGTGTGATCTCCTGTTGTGCAGTTTATTATATTTTCAACAGCGATGGAGAAAAATGGTTCGATAAACGTCCAAACGAATCATCTATTAATCCATCGATTGAAGGATTAAGGGAGAGTGCTTGTTGGAAAAATAAAAGCATATCTAAAAATCCTAATCCGAACTTAATAGATAGAAATAATTTTTGGAACAGATATTAGGTGTCGCTGCAGTTGACGATGTTTTATGAGATATATGTAATCGTTAATGATCGGAGGCAGGCTTCTGTGTACTAGTTGATCACTTGGGGTTGTTCAACCATCGCAACAACCAAATGGAAGGTTGTTGTCCATGACCTAACTGTCGAAAACTAATATATCCATGAGCTAACAGTCCAATTTGTATATCCCAACCACCTGATAAACAACAATGTGCCTTTTTTGAATATTGGCAAAAAAAACTTTTTTTGGAGTGGAAGGTGGTGGAGGGGCAGTTGAACGAAAGCAATTAAGCAACACAGATTTGCCCTCAGTTGGGGAAGCTGATGCCCCAATTATGCTGTTATTTATATCATGTTGATTGTCATGTCAGGATACTTGGCGTAGTAGTCTATGTTGTGCCACTTCAAAACAATTTACGCTAACCCGAGACACATTTTTCAATAATTAGCATTCTGCTTAAAGAAATTTGGTGGAAACTACAAATTTTATCAAGTTCAGTTATTTTGTGGTAAGATTTTCAAAGGACAGGGGGCTGGGGTAACATTGGGGTGGCAGGGGTTACGCAAGATTCTCCAATGAAAACCTTAGGACGGAATTCATCAAGAGGAGCTCGATCAAGAACTACTGGACCAGAAGCCAATAAAGGCTTTCTGCTACTCCGGTTGCGTGAAATACCTTGACAGCTTTTATTCTGCGTGGCATCACTCCTTCAAGTTTCATGAAACAACTTTTATTCGACGTGGAAGTTTTTTTACAAGTTTCAAAGTTTCATCTGCTATATATATATATATATATTTTTATTTACGATTTTCTTATTGTTTTTTTCGATAAGCCGAACGAAATTTCTAGCTGGAGCTTGGAGATCAAAAAGCAGATTACCGAATGACATTTTAATAGAATGCGACGTTTCGAATATATCAATATTCATTATCAAGCAAGTGAACAGTTATTACAACGCTAAAAATTGAGATTTGGACATGACATAAGTTCATACAGAAAGTATCGTAGATACGGTTNGGAGGATGTAGGAGGAGGATGTAGGAGGAGGATGTAGGAGGAGGATGTAGGAGGAGGATGTAGGAGGAGGATGTAGGAGGAGGATGTAGGAGGAGGATGTAGGAGGAGGATGTAGGAGGAGGATGTAGGAGGAGGATGTAGGAGGAGGATGTAGGAGGAGGATGTAGGAGGAGGATGTAGGAGGAGGATGTAGGAGGAGGATGTAGGAGGAGGATGTAGGAGGAGGATGTAGGAGGAGGATGTAGGAGGAGGATGTAGGAGGAGGATGTAGGAGGAGGATGTAGGAGGAGGATGTAGGAGGAGGATGTAGGAGGAGGATGTAGGAGGAGGATGTAGGAGGAGGATGTAGGAGGAGGATGTAGGAAGAGGATGAAGGAGGAAGATGTAGGAGGAGGATGTAGGAGGAGGATGTAGGAGGAGGATGAAGGAGGAGGATGTAGGAGGAAGATGTAGGAGGAGGATGTAGGAGGAAGATGTAGGAGGAAGATGTAGGAGGAGGATGTAGGAGGAGGATGTAGGAGGAAGATGTAGGAGGAGGATGCACCTAAGCACAAAATATCTCTATGTTTTTATTTATCTAAACTAACGCACAAAAAGATTGCTGTTCGACACGATCTTGTTACACGTGCCTGGCGGTGGGCAATGTTTTCGACTGTGTAAACATTTCAAGGTATTTTCTAACTCCCAATCTTTTTTTTCTGAATTAACACTAAAAACATCTGCGTGCTATTTCGCTCGATTTTTTTTTGTTAAAGTAAAATAAACAGTTTTTGGCCATTGCAATAATTCTCTACTTATAATGATATTCACAGTCATGAATATTTCCTTAATCATTTTACCGTTGTTATATATAAATTATTAACTGTAATTGGAAGCAATTCGTAAATTTATAATTCTCTCACAAACTAATAGAATTGTCTGCAATTTTTTCTACTCGCATTGTCACCATACAAAATTTTATTGAATGAAAACATAAAATTTATTAATATGCAAAAAGACGCGGTCAAGAACATATACCTACAGTGGGTGTAAGAAGGATCCGACGCAAGAGAAAAACTTTATTTAGTTAAAGCTTATTATGTAAATGAAAAATTAAAGGTTCAAAAAGTATCAACACCTAGGAAACAAATTTACTCGATACTTCGTCATGTGACTTTTAGCAGCCAAAACTGTAACGGGGCATTCTTGAGAGATGTCTCGTGAAGTCAGCCGAAAAATTGAACCTTTTTCGAGGTTGCATATTCTAACAAGACAATGACCCAAGCACATGGCTAGGGGCAACTCTTGCAGGGTTTCAGGAGAGGAACATTGAGTTATTGGCATGGCCAAGCCAATCAATCACATGACCTCAATCCGATTGAAAATCTGTGGCGGGAATTGAAATTGAGGGTACAAGAGAGAGATCCAAGAAATCTTATTCAATTGAAAGAAATATGCATGGAAGAGCGGGCTAAAATTCCTATTAGCATATGTGTTAATCTTGTGAACAAGTGTTCCAATCGATTAGAAGCAGTTTTGGCTGCTAAAGGTCACATGATGAAGTATTGAGTAAATTTATAACTATATGTGTCGGATACTTTTAGAACCTTGACTTTTGCAAAATTGCAATTATTAAGTCAACATTTAATGAGATTGTTGTTTTGATATGATATTTAGATATCCCATGTATATATACATTAGAAAAGTGTTCGTTTATGTTATTTTGTTGAATGAGCTTTAATAATTAAATAAAAATTTTCCTTTGTGTCGGATACTTTTTGTACCCACTGTATGTAAACGCTCAAAAAACATTATGTAGACGCGTTCAAGAACAGACTAGATAAAGCTATGGAGAAATATATGTTCAGACTTGAAATGCCTAGCACCATGTCGAACCCGGTGGAAGTCTAGTAGCTATTTCAAACTATCGACAGCTTGGAAAAGATCCTGTTGAAGGACCTGTTTTTAGATCGCCTGTGAACAAGTCACGAAAAATACAAGAATCAGCTACAAGCCACATCAGGCCTATTATTCAGCGCCGATATCACTATACTATTCTATGCTATATCAAAACTATCAAGTTTTTGTAAGTTTTTATCTAGAACGTGCTGTATTCTCTCCATATACAACAAAAATTTACGCACAGGGAATAATGTTTGCTTACAGCCGGTTTAAAATTTTCGATACATCATCGAAGCCAATTTATCTGGGAGTTTTTGTAAGTTATATTATATTTTATGGGGAAACTCTAAGCGAATGAAATTTGTTCTCTCATTCAATAATGGCTCGAGTGACACTGATGGAGATGGATCACTTCGGGCTGGAAACCTAGCAAAAAACTGACACTGATGCAATTGTCGATGCTGCAGCGTGGAATCTATGGAGCTAATGCACTCTAGGGCACGATCATGTCGTACATTAGCATTATGTGCCTGGAGCATGATGTTGCATTAAGCATGATGTATACATGAAGCATTATGTGTCTGAAGCAAGATAGAACATTAAGCATGATGTGCCTAAAGCATGATAGAATATTAAGCATGATGTATACATGAGGCATGATGTGCCTGAAGCATGATAGAACATTAAGCATGATGTATACATGAGGCATGATAGAATATTATAAGCATGATGTATACATGAAACATTATTTGCCTGAAGCATTATGTAACTTGAGCATGATGTATACATGAAGCATCATGCTTATACAACATGTACATGAAGCATTATACAACTCGAAGGTTGTACCTAAAGCTATGTGTACCCAAAACCTTGTGCACAAACAACCATATGTATCAAAAAACCTTATGGACCAAAAACATTACGTACCAAAAAGATTATGCAACATAAATTTATGTACCAAAATCCATATTTACCAAAAACTTTAACGTAGCAAAAACATTACGTACGAAAAACCTAATGTATCAAAAACATTACGTACCAAAATCATTATGCACCAAAACATCATGTACCAAAAACATTACGTACCAGAAACATTAGGTACCAAAAATATTAATTATGTACCAAAAACATCATATAAAAAAATACGTACCGAAGATATTATGAACCAAAAAAATTGCGTACTAAAAACATTATGTACCAAAAACATTACGTACCAAAAACACCATGTACAAGATAAATATAACTCAGTACTCACTGCAGTGAGTGACAGAGAGCGCATTTTCTCGTCGACGAAAACTTGAGGTCACGGACAGACGGACGGACAGACAGATAGACGGACATGGCGAGCACAATAGTGCATTTTTTCCATAAATGAGGAAATGCGCTAAAAATAGTACCATAACATTAAGAACCAAAAAATTTGGTACCGGAAACATTATATTCCAAAAAAATGCGTACTAAAAACATTGTGCACCAAAAACATTACGTAATGATTAGCATCGCCTATTCTTCCCGAATATTCGGTGCTTATCACTTCAGAGCGGGCCGGTGTTGACGCTAATCTCGCCTCATCAACCACATTTTCTTGTACCACAAAATTAACTTTGCTGAGCAATATTTTTAAATATTATGCGAATGCACCTTCACTGAGTAGCTGCAACGAAATAATTGATGGCTACTAATATCGAAGTAATACATTCATTAAGCTAGCCAACTATTATTGGCATTCAGACTTGAATATAAATCGAAAAATATAAATGATGCTAGTACTTTTATGTAAGCATTATATTCTCTTAAGACTTCTAATGATTGTAATACCGATACTATGTCAAGCGAAGACATTTCTATTCCAATCTAAGCTTCAAATTATTCTTATTAAATTAAAAGAAATACTCAGAATAAAAATAAACACGGACACTTCCCTACCGAAAGCCACAAGTATCACAGACTCACCAACAGAAACCTGGAAAATGCTCCATCTCTGCAGAAAACATCTCCTCGTTCTGTGGTTTGTTTTCTGCAAATTTTATGCAACTCCGGGCGGGAATTTCCATTAAAAAAACTTATATTTGGAGCGCTAGTCGCATCCAGATCGAAATTTGTGCTGGAATGACAACGAGCAGCTCGAGTACAGCCGCCATGGGGCTTCACTTTAATGTTCCAGGGAGAATATTTCTTTGTGTGGTGAAATCCAGCGGGAATGACTGATATTTTTTGGATAAGGATGACGATATTTGTGTGGTGAAATCCAGCGGGAGTGACTGATATATTTTTGGATAAGGATGAAGATATTCGGCGCGAGTGCTTATAAAAATGTAATTTTAGGTGAGACTAAAAGGATGGAACATAACTGTCGTTTGCTTTTTGAAATTCTCCTGCACAAAGGGAATTTTTGTGATATGATAATCTTTTCTATTTTTTTATGTATTTATAACAAGATAAAAATTTCCTGATTTTCTTTCATACGCATTGCTAATAATGTTCAAAAGTGAATAATGTTTGTATTTAAGAATATTTTTCGATATTTTTTCATAATGTTGTTTTGAATAATTCAAAATCAATGATTTAAAAACTTCCTTATAGATATATTCGAAAATTGCTTTCCATGAGAAAAGTTCGTACTATCAATAGACAAAAATCTAAAATCTATATTTTTCTATAAACCATGCTTGAGATGGAAACTTTCATATTTTTTTAGAAAGTAAGTTCGTGCTGTAGCGGCCAACTTTTGGCCCCGCTCGCGACGCTCTGAGTTTTGTTGCAGCTGCCGCTCTTCGCCGAGCATGACTGAAGATAAGAAGTGCAGAACCAATTTTTTTAAGTATGGCTCAAATAATCAGCAGTACTTACCTATGATGAACTGAAATAATTATTTTCATGTTAAAGGTTGAAATTTTAGCCATTTCTGCAACTGTATTATGTCAAAAAGTTTTGATATCTGTGCTTAACCAGCCAGTTCCGCAATAAATTCTGTTAAACGGTTATTATTCGGTCCATTTCACGTATAAAGTACCATTACTGCAAAAGGTCTTCATAATCTTTAAATGAAATCTGTTTTGTGTCTCATACAATAATGTAAAATGATTATTGGTATCCTGGTATGGTGCAACCCGCGGTTGGAGACACGGAACAATTATAAATGCAGTTCATTTCTCCCGCTACACTGAGATAACGAAAATATCTGGCTTTTCTATTTTCGTGCTGATATTTTTTATCAATTTTCTCGTCCATGTTCAGGTTGCAATACAAGATTACGCGGCAATTTCAGCTGAGTTTCTACGATAAAAATAGATCCATTGTAACGGCCTCTTGATGGCCGCCCTTCGTTGGAAATCACGGTCGACTTAAAGGTGGCCAACGAAATAACGTCGGTTGGATGACAATGATCGGCTCTAATCTTCGTAAGGGCACGCAGACAAGGCTATCAGTCGGGGAGGTTCCCAAACCGCGGCTATCAAATGACTTTTTTATTGAGGCAACCTCGACCGGATTACTTATGGTCGTGTTCCCCAATATTATTGGCAAGAAAATGTTGTCTTTTAGGTTACTGTGTTCGCTGGGGGAGGAAAATCTTGACCGAGAGAACGCCAAGAAACGAGTTTCGTTCTCGCGTTGTCAGTTCGAGGACATTCGGCTTGTTGCTCGGACGGAAGAAGGAATTACTTCTGCTTGATGGCTGAAGATCTAACAACCGCAAAATATACGTAATGTGTGATCAAATCAAAGTTTAAAATGAATTGCCACCGACATTTTTTGAATGAGATTTAATTTTTCCAAATCCTAACCCGAAGATCACCGGAAGACATAATTTGATGAGTCTTGAAGCAATGAATCTTGGACTGATAAATCTTGATTTATGAATCATAACTCCTCAAAATCATTCATAAACTCAACCGTTTAAAGCCAAAATTACTTATCGACCGGCCCCGGAGATTCGAAAGTCGATAATACACAGAGAAGCACAGAGCGTTCTGTGAACAATTCGGAGGATTTTACGAATCCCGGGAGACGCGAGTTATTGCTAACAGATGTGTCCTGCAGACGACCAACATGGCCGACAATATGAGGAGTTTTATACTCGAGACAAACGCCAAGAAGTTTTTCCATAAATGACGTCATGTGGTGCCAAGTGCTGAGCTTTTATCTACAGAACCTTCTTAACGACGCATTCTATGGCCGAGAGAAGTAGTCTCCGTTTGAACATTGCTGGAATGCACTATTAAAGAAAGGAGTATTGGTTTCAACACTACTGCAATGCCATGTTTCGATGTTGCAATCAAGTAGTCAGAGACATACCATTGATTACGATCATATCTCACATGATCTCCAAACTTGTAAATGTTGACAATTAACATCATATACTCATGAAGAAAGCCTTCCAACATTAATGTAATCTCTGACCTAACTTCTGCGGATTGAACGTTAAAATATCTGTTATCAAT